CTGATAAATTCAATTTATTGCGATTTCTATCGATCGTAACATCATTAAGTGTCCCAGACCACATTGGATTCTGCCACAATTGATTTAATAATATATAACGTATAATATTATTGAGCAGTATCGAAACATCATGCTAAATTTCGTGATTTGGACACAGCTGCTGGTGTTGGATTAAATGTACTAAAAGGTCGATCTAGGGCCGAGTTTTCGAACCAAACCAAAAAAATATTTCATTTAATGTAGAACCTTGATTTAATTAACAACACATTTTTACATTTCAGGGTCTATTTTAAAAAATGTTTAGATAAATTACGAAAAAATAATCAACATCAAAAAATGCAGAAGTGCAGAATCCAGTTCCAACTATAATCAATATTATCCAGTTTAAGCTCAATAACATTTTTTTCTTTCAATATCGACCGACAACAAGAAATTGGAGATTTTACAGACATTGCCATTGACCATTGTCAGCAACAGCGGTGAGTAGCCTTACACACAGATGCAGCATTCAGAAGTTACAACTACAAAGACACACACACAGATTTGGATTTTTAAGAAAACATTTTTTTGTTTTTATAAATAAACAACAACTTCAAACTGGAAAGTGGTTATTACAGATTTAATATAACTTCGTTGTCATACAAAGTGGTTGACACACTTTTGATCCAGTGTGTGACGTATTCGAAGTTGGTTTATTGGACCAGTCGCTAGATAGGTTGGCCGGTCATATTCATGGCTAATTAAAACGGCTGCACAGAAGTGACTATCAGCGATCAGAAAAAATGGAAATGAAAATAACCGGCTTTGGCTACAATGCCAGTTTGTTGGCTTGGCAATGTGTGGCGGCGGTGGCACGAACCATTTTTCGTTTTCGTTTGACTGACGGACTGGTTGCAGAAATCCAAGCAACGGGTAAGTGGCTAACAAAGTTATAATGATGATGACGATGATGTTGGAAGTGATGACCACAATGATGTATTACTACAACTGGTTACACAGTTTAGACTGAATAAAAATAGAAATAGACTTGCATAACTGACAATGGCAGGGAGGTGGATGGAGGCTGTTACATTAGACAATTATAAAATGTAGAAAACGAACCGAAGAATTCAAATCAAAATTGCATTTTTGGTACAAATAGGCAATTCGTATGCACTGAGAATCATTGATTGTTAAAATTAATGGGTTCTATTAGAATTTCTAGATATGTCATTGTGGTGTCCATAACACGCGAAATATATATGTGGACATGTTTAAATGCTTAACACCTAGCTTTGGAAATCAAAAAGTGCAAGTTCCGCTGTCAACAAATATAAGAAATTATTTATTTGTATTTTTTTGGCTACAATTGACTAAGGTGATTGACTAATACTGCGCCGGGACCTTGGGGGTAATTAAAATACAATTAAAGTCTTGAACCCATTCCGTACTACTAACACCAATGTTAGTGTCGCTTGTGCTTTATGCATTTACATGTCTATGTTTTTGGGGGGCATTTGTTCAACCCCGTTCCCCTCTGCCTAGGAAGGGGTCCGCCACTAGTTGTCCAGTTAAAAATCTGGGTTAATTTGCCTCAAATAAAATTGAAAGTGTTAATTATTTTAAAATAATTTTTGTTGTTGCCTGGATGTGTTTTGTTTTCTTTGCATTGGCTTTTGGCAATATTTGTTGTTTAGTTAGCCAGTCAGCCATTCATGATGACGATGTTTTATTTAATTTTATTTTATTTTGGGATGTGGAAACCTGTGTTAAGTGGGTTAAATTTGTTAAATTGGTTCACTAAACTCCCTCGAAAATGATGCAGCTATTTTTTTTTTTTTTTTTTTTTTGTTAAAAGTAGGTCAGTGGGTGACATTCTTGATCACATGACGGAATGTTGAGATGTAAATTGCTTGGTTAATCTTTGGCAATGTTAGTTGGGATAATTTTGACACCTTTTGGGAAGGGCTTGATAGAGATTCGGAGAAGACAATAGCTAGTAAATATGTATGTAAATTTAGTGTGAACACAAATAAATGGTTATACAAATCAGATATAAACAAATATTTGGCCTATAATAAATTTGATATCAAATGTATCTGGAAGCAGTATTAATACTCAATAATCTATAAAAAGAAGCGATTTGTTTTTATTCGAAATAATCAGGCATAAATCCATTTGGTTAGTTGCAATAAAAACAATACAGTCCAGCACGGCTATAGCGGACTTGTAGGGACCAAGCAAGTTAGTTCGTTATAGAGGAAGTTCGTTGTACCCAAGGTAAGGCTTAGCAGGATTAATATGAGTCGTTTTTTTGAAAGTGGATTAAGTCCATTTTTTCTTATATTGAATATTTAAAGTAGTATTAAGTTTGTTTGTGGCTTTGTGCCCTAAAATATGCTGGAATATATAATGTAATATGTTTTGTAAGCTTTTGTAGAAAACCAAGATTTGTATCAGAACCTAAAATGGACTTAAACTACTTTCAAAATAAACGACTCATATATTCATTATATAAAAGATTATACGATTTAATTTATTTAATAAACGTACTTCATTACATCAAATTTAGGTGAGCTTTCATGAAGAACAGCATAAAAACTGAAATGTCTTATAAAGATTCCCAGCATTGGAGTAAAAATTAACATTTGTGAAGATTGACATCGTAAGTAATACTCAATACTTCGTACTAAAAACAAATTAATACAAGTGAAAACTGATTGGACTAAATAATAAAAAAGAGTAAATAATTATATTCAAAAATGTATTAAATCTTCGGAACCAGGAAATGTGTCCTGGGTTTGTTATAAACATACTCTACTGTATTTATTAGTGGGGAAAATATGACATATGACACAAAGGGGGAGGCAGGGAAGACTATAGTTTCGACCTCGCCCTGTTTCTCATCAGTTCCCTTAGTTTTTTGTTGGTGATATTCTTCCCAGAATCTATTTACAGCTTCTTTACAATAAAAGGTTTGTAATCATATGTCACTAGAATCAAATCGAAGTATTTTCGTTAAATTCTAATTCTCAACTGACATTTGGGATATGCTGCTACAAGGGTAGCTTTTCAAAAATAAATAGAAATGGATACTTTATTCTCTTTAAAGAAACAAAAGCATAAACGAAAAATTAATTTTTGGAGTAAATAATTGGTCTGTTAATTGGTTATTCTATTCCTTATGTCTTTGTGCATATGTTTGTAACAGGCAAAAGGAAACGAGATAGACACATGGTTCCTTTTGAGAATATGCATAGAATCACCTTTTAAGTCGATTTATACATGCCCGTCCGTCCATGTTAAATTGTAAACAATGTACAGGTCGCATTTTTGATTCGAATTGGAAGAAATTTGGCACAGCTCATTTATTTGGCCCAAGGATGAACCCTATTGAAATTGAGAAAAATCGGTTAGGTTTAGATATAGCTCCCATATATATTTTCGTCCGATTTAAGGTAAATGAGGTACCAAAGTTCCTAAATATCTTTCGATTTGCACGAAATTTGGTACAGCGTGCTTAATTGAGTCTAGAATGATGTGTGCTAAAATTCAGGAAAATCGGTTAGGATTTAGATATAGCTCCCATGTATATGTTCGTCCGATTTTATGTAAATGGTTCACCAAAGTCCCCATATTTCTTCGATTTGCACCAAATTTGGCATAGCGTAGTTAATTGAGTCTAGAATGATGTGTGTTAAGATTCGTGAAAATAGGTTCAGATTTAGCTATAGCTCTCATATATATTTTCGTCCGATTTTATGTAAGTGATGCACCAAAGTCCCTATATATACTTCGATTTGCACGAAATTTGGCACAGAGTAGTTATTTGAATCTAGAATGTGTTTTAAATTTCGTAAAAATCGGTTCAGATTTAGATATAGCTCCCACATATACATATATATTCGTCCGATTTTAGATAAATGGTGCATCAAACTCCTAATATTTGTCCGATTAACACGATATTTTGCACAACATATCAAATTGAGACTTGAATGGCGTTATTGCGTTTTGTTGAAATTGGTGCAAGTAAGGGTACATATCGACGCCTCCGAACCATAGTATGCTAAGTCTGAAAAGTGAGTTTTTCAGTAGAGCCTTTCAAAGTATTGAAGTTTATTTAATCGTACGTGCCATGCTAAGTACATTTTTGCTTATAACTTTGGTTTAGATTGGCCGATGATTACCAACATTTCAGTGAATTTTAATTAGGGACCGTAGTATCTAAAAACGTGAAGAACTTTAAAACATGCTAAGTCGACTTAGCATACTATGGTTCGGAGGCGTCGAGATGTACAATATACCCAAAGTGGTGAAGGGTATCATATAGTCGGCCCAGTCCGACTTTAATGCTTTCCTTACTGGGTTTTTTCTGATCTATCAGCCAATGTGCAATGTTTCAAAAAATTAGCCTGAATTAACGGTGTTGTATGTTGCATCCCCCGGATATTTTTTAAAGTTTTTTTAGATATTGGATTTTAGATTATTAAATTTCTTTAAGATTTCTATTTTTAATGCAAATTTAGAGTTGCGAAAACGCAAATTTTTGAATTAAGAGGAAATAAATATGAGTTTTTGAAGCAATTTCGTTTATTAGCCGATTTCTCATTTAAGCGGAGTTTTAATTAAACGGAGTTGGAGCTCTTCATGGTTATAGCCAAATTCGAGTTAATTATAAAACCCAGTTTGAAACAGGACACAATTTTTTAGAAACAAAATGATGCACTAAAATGGCAACGATGGGAGTAGATTTGATTAATACTTGCACTCTCGATTTAAAATTTTTACTTTTAAATCATATAGAACAGTATCACGAACCCTCATTCTATATATACAGCAATATGGACTTAAACATTTATCATTCTTTTCCAAATAAATATTACAACAACTTTCATGCTAATTTTTTTAATCCAATTATTCCAATATAGTCCGTTTATTTAATAATCCTTTATTTACTCTTCAAAACGCTGTCTCCGAATCACTTATAATTTCTTTAAAATATTTTTATTCATGTTACTTACTTTTAATAGCCCATATTTTGGCCTCTTGTAATCCTTTCAGATATTTATAAATATCCTGCGAACAATTCGCTGAGATATCGCTTCGTACATTAATCCACTGAGAAGCAAGATAACTCAGATCGAAGATATTAAGCATATCCTTGAGACGGACTGTAAGATTTAAATCGACATTTGTGTCCGATGCAGCTGCAGCATTCTGCTGCGAGCCATTGGCAGGATGTAGACGTAAATTTAATGGCTGTAGATCACCACGATTGCTGGCCAACATTTGTTGTGTTATATTGCGGTTCATTGTGTCATCACTGCCATCACCATTGCTGATGGCTGCCTCCAGACAG